GTGGAAAACAGTGTGGAGATTCCTCAAAAGACTAGGAATAGACTTACCATATGACCCAGGAATCCCACTCCTGGGCATGTATGCAGAAGGAACCCTACTTCAAAATGACACCTGCACCCCAATGTTCATAGCAGCATTATTTACAATAGCCAAGACATGGAAACAGCCTAAATGTCCATCAACAGGTGACTGGATAAAGAAGATGTGGTATATTTATACAATGGAATACTACTCAGCCATAAAAACTGACAACATACTGCCATTTGCAGCAACATGGATGCTCCTGGAGAATGTCATTCTAAGTGAAGTAAGCCAGAAAGAGAAAGAAAAATACCATATGAGATCGCTCATATGTGGAATCTAAAAAAATAAAATAAAAAAATTTAAAAACCAAAGCATAAATACAGAACAGAAACAGACTCATAGACATAGAATACAGACTTGTGGTTGCCAAGGGGGTGGCAGGTGGGAAGAGACAGACTGGGATTTCAAAATTGTAGAATGGATAAACAAGATTATACTGTATAGCACAGGGAAATATATGCAAGATCTTATGGTAGCTCACAGATAAAGGAATATGACAATGAATATATATATGTTCATGTATAATTGAAAAATTGTGCTCTACACTGGAATTTGACACAACATTGTAAAATGATTATAAATCAATAAAAAGGTTAAAAAATAAAATAAAACAAAACAGCAAAGTTCAATATTCCCAAGTCACAAAGTTTTTCACATCACTTCTCAGATAGTCAAACAAACCGAAATGCAGGCCTAGTGGCTGCTAAAATTTAAATGACACAGGATGAAAGGATATCCCATGTTCATGGACTTCAGACTTAACAGTATTAAGAAGACAATACTACCCAGAGCAATAAGCAGATTCAATGCAATTCTTATCGAAATCCCAAAGGTGATTTTTACAGAAATGGAGAAATCCATCCTTAAACACATATGGAATTTCAAGAGACCCCAACAGCCTCAAAAAATACTGAAAAAGAAGAACAAAGTTGGAGGACTCACACTTCCTGATTTCAAAACTTACTACAAAGCTTACAGTAATCAAAACACTGGTACTGACATAAGGACAGACACTGAGAGCCCAGATATAATTACATATATATATGATCAACTGATTTTCAACAATGGTGCCAAGATAATTCAATAAACTGTTCGGGAACAACTGGATATCCACATGCAAAAGAATGAAGTGGACCCTTCCCTTACACCGTATACAAAAATTAACTCAAAATGGATCAAAGATCTAAATTTAAGAGTTAAAATTCTTAGGGAAAATCTTCATAACCTTAGATCTGGCAATAGTTTCTTAAATATGATACCCAAACCACAGGTGATAGAAGAAAAAATAGATAAACTGAAGTTCTTTAAAATTAAGAATGTTTTGTGCCTCAAAGGACATTATTAAGTGAAAAGACAACTAGCAAAATTAGAAAAGTATTTGCAAATCACCTATCAGATAAGGGTTTAGTATTCAGAATACATAAACAACTTCTACAACTCAACAACAAAAAAGCAAGCAACCCAAATGAAAAATGGGCAAAGGACTTGAATAGACATTTCTCCAAAGAAGATATACATATGCCAATAGGGATGTGAAAGAATTCTCAACATTATTAAAGAAATGTAAATCAAAGCCACAATGAGACACCATTTTATATCCACTACTATGGCTATAATTAAATTAAAAAAACAGAAAATAACAAACGTTAACAAGGATGTGAAGAAACTGAAACCCTCCTACATTGCTGGTGGGAATATAAAGTGGTGCAGCTGCTGCAGAACAGGTTGGCAGCTCCTCAAAAAGTTAAATATAGAATTACCATATGCATGATCCAGCAATTCCACCCCTAGGTTTATATTCTTCTCAAAAGTTCTGAAAACAGTGACTCAAAGAGACACTTCCATGTGAATGTTCATTATTCACATGGAATATCATTATTCACAACAACCAAAAAAGTAGAAACAATTCAAGTATTCATCAAAAGATGGATTTTTTTTCAAATGTGGTATATACTTCTAATGGAGTATTATTCAGCCACAAAAAGAATGGAATTCTGATACATGTTTCAACATGAATGAACCTTGAAAACATTATGCCAAGTGAAATAAACTAGACACAAAAAAACAGACATTGTATGATTCTACTTAAGTGAAATATCTAGAATGGGAAATTGGAATAGTGAATAAATTTTGGTCAGTAAACTGGAGTGGAAGTCAAAAGAACTGAATCCAAACTGGCAAATTGTCCAGAAAAGGCAGAAAGAAAAGTAAAATAAAGTAAAACAAAGTCAAACAACCACCATTTAGAAAAATTCAGAACACGTCAGTACCAGCCCAGACCCTTATAAAAGGTTTGTGTGTTTATCACTCAGCCCCAATACACCTCATTAGGCAGTTTACTCAATAGAGTCTTAACTGAATTAATTGTGGGGGAACGTATCTGAAGAGTATAGTGTTTTACCTTTTCTCTTTTTCATTCCTGCCACACTCCTCCATGCTTCATCTCAATAAATTAGTCCTCTGACATGACTACACTGGAACCCAATATCAGAAGTTATTACCCAGTGCCCAGACTATGCCTTCTCAGGGGCAGATGAAAACTTTCCCTAAGGACATCTGGAGCCATGAAGGAAAACAGCCCTGCTGGACCGGCACTGTGCTAAAAAAGCACAGCCAAATGGAAAGCAAAGGCTTGGGAGCTAAAAATAGCTGCTATACTCACCCAGCAGCAAAAGCCTTTGCTTTCTGCCAGTTTCTCCCCCCGCACCCCCCCCCCTTTTTGTAGACAAAATGGAACGGCTGAGTGCCACATGAGCTTTCCCCAGCAACCTGGCTCCCTGGGGCACCAATCACACTGAAAGACATGGAATGAGTTCAAAGCACAGCACTAAGTTCTGGATAGGTGCCTGGCCCTGCCTGGGTGTGCAGGGTTCTGGGGATGCCAGGCTAGATGAGGATGAACAAGAGGAAGAGACTGCCACATCAGGAGTAAGAAGGCTAGAAAGGCCAAGGGAGATGGGTCCCAAGAGGACACAGACCTGGAGCTTCCTGCATTCTTGGCTGTGGGGAAAGGGGGAATAAAAAATGGAAGGGGAGACTCACAGCAATATCAAGACAGCATAAAATAAGAGAGAAAAAGATTATCCCCAAAGCTACAGATTTCCCTTCCCCTACATGAGACTGTTCATGTGTATATGCATATACACATACAGAGTTAGACACTCCCTTCTTACAGCCAGAGATAAACAATGGAACTGATAGGGGGAAAAGACGAGGAAGAAGAGATAAACGAGAATGAAATCAAGAGCAAAGATGACAAATGAGCAGGAGGAGGAGGCCCACAAGGGACTGAGGAAGAAGAGGCTGGGGACAGTTGATACACAAACAACAGCTTACCCACCTCCTGGAGTGGGAAGGGGAGTGGAAGGAAGGCAGGGTAGGGGTGTACAAGAGAAACAGCAGCTCCCACAGGGTTCTCAGCTGCCTCGATCTCCTGCACACACACTAATACCCTCAGAGCATTTTCTGCCAATACTAAGGATGAGAGATTGATTCGCAAATAGATCCTTCATCTCCC